TTTCAAGAATCTAAAGGGCCCTCTTCGGGATTCTTGTGTGCCCCTCTTGAAGTGTGTTGGGAGCCTCTTGGGCCGTCTGGAGGCTATTTTGGGCCGTCCCGGGACCTTCTTGGGCCGTGCAGGGCGGCCTGTTGAGACCTTTTTGGCCTTCATTTGAGCTTTACTTTGGCCCGTGATCAGGTCACGCGACGCAGTCCAAGGGTCACGCGTAACTCCTCAACGGGGCGCCCCAGCAGGAGGCATGCGACAAGCTTTGGGAAATCAGGCAATTGGGGTGTCTAGGCCCCTTGAAGAGTATTTACCAGGTTCCAGCAGTAAGGTGTTACATGAGACAAAGCGTATGTAAAGAACCATGCCTACACACACACATACATATATATATATATATATATATATATATTCACACTATACGAACACCCGTCGGGTGATAAGGAGGTTCGGGCGGAAAGAGTGAACGTCTTATTCTATCGATCCCATTCTCATTAGCACGATCGATCTCACTATCGATATCACAATCGATCAGCCGAGTTCTCCTGCGGGGCAGGGCACCCTCACGGCCTAAGACGGTTTCAGCGTTTCCGCCTCCCGTCCCCCGATACTCTGCTTGTTACTTGCTGGAGTCTCCCTCCCTCCTGCTCTGCTGCCTCCTCTCTCGCTTGCTCTCCTGTCTCTCTCTCTGCTGCTCTTTGCTCCTCCCCTTTCTCCCTGCCGCCGGCGTTTTTTTCCCAACCATCCTGTGGTGTTGGGTCATCGTTTTGAAGAGACGGTGGCCCGCGTCTCCTCTCCTCCTCTCCTCTCCTCCTCTCCTCCTCCTCTCCTCTCCTTCTCCTCTCATCCTCCTCCTTCTCATCCTGGCCCCCATTTTGGCACGCCCTTCACACGTTTCGTGGCCCCATAGGGAGCTCCACCGAAGGTCCCAGTGGGTGTGCCCGCATGCGTCCCGCACAACCATTTCGGCACACCCCTCACACGTTTCGTGGCCCCATAGGGAGCTCCACCGAAGGTCTCAGTGGGTGTGCCCGCATGCGTCCCGCACACCCATTTCGGCCCACCCCTCACACGTTTCGTGGCCCCATAGGGAGCTCCACCGAAGGTCCCAGTGGGTGTGCCCGCATGCGTCCCGCACACCCATTTCGGCACACCCTCACACGTTTCGTGGCCCCATAGGGAGCTCCACCGAAGGTCCCAGTGGGTGTGCCCGCATGCGTCCCGCACACCATTTCGGCACACCCTCCACACGTTTCGTGGCCCCATACGGGCTCCACCGAAGGTCCCAGTGGGTGTGCCCGCATGCGTCCCGCACACCCATTTCGGCCACCCCTCACACGTTTCGTGGCCCCATAGGGAGTTCTCCCGCATGCGTCCCGCAAGGCGTTTCGTGGGGAGCTCCACCGAAGGCCCAGTGCCCGCATGCGTCCCGCACACCCATTTCGGCACACCCCTCACACGTTTCGTGGCCCCATAGGGAGCTCCACCGAAGGTCCCAGTGGGTGTGCCCGCATGCGTCCCGCACACCCATTTCGGCACACCCCTCACACGTTTCGTGGCCCCATAGGGAGCTCCACCGAAGGTCCCAGTGGGTGTGCCCGCATGCGTCCCGCACACCCATTTCGGCACACCCCTCACACGTTTCGTGGCCCCATAGGGAGCTCCACCGAAGGTCCCAGTGGGTGTGCCCGCATGCGTCCCGCACACCCATTTCGGGCACACCCCTCACACGTTTCGTGGCCCCATAGGGAGCTCCACCGAAGGTCCCAGTGGGTGTGCCCGCATGCGTCCCGCACACCCATTTCGGCACACCCCTCACACGTTTCGTGGCCCCATAGGGAGCTCCACCGAAGGTCCCAGTGGGTGTGCCCGCATGCGTCCCGCACATCCCTTTCGCCACACCCTTCATACGTTTTGTGGCCCCATGGGGAGCTCCACCGAAGGTCCCAGTGGGTGTGCCCGCATGCGTCCCGCACATTCATTTCGGCCCACCCCTCACACGTTTCGTGGCCCCATAGGGAGCTCCACCGAAGGTCTCAGTGGGTGTGTGCGCATGCGTCCCGCACACCCATTTCGGCCCACCCTTCACACGTTTCGTGGCCCCATAGGGAACTCCACCGAAAGTCCTTGTGGGTGTGCCCGCATGCGTCCCGCACACCATTTTCGGCACACCCCTCACACGTTTCGTGGCCCCATAGGAGCTCCGCCGAAGGTCCCAGTGGCACAGTCCGCATGCGCCCCCGCCATTCATTTCGGCACACCCCTCGCACGCTTCGTGGCCCCATAATGGGGCTCCGCCGAAGGTTCCAGTGGAACAGTCCGCATGCGCCCCCGCCATTCATGTCGGCACACCCCTCACACGTTTCGTGGCCCCACAGGAGCTCCGCCGAAGGTCCCACTGGCACAGTCCGCATGCGTCCCCGCCGCTCATTTCGGCACACCCCTCACACGTTTCGTGGCCTCACAGGAGCTCCGCCGAAGGTCCCAGTGGCACAGTCCGCATGCGTCTCCGCCGTTCATGTCGGCCCACCCCTCACACGCTTCGTGGCCTCATAGGAGCTCCGCCGAAGGTCCCGGTGGCACAATCCGCATGCGTCCCCGCCATTCATTTCAGCACACCCCTCACACGTTTCGTGGCCCCACAGGAGCTCCGCGGAAGGTTCCCGTGGCACAGTCCCGATGCGTTCCCGCCATTCATGTCGGCACACCCCTCACACGTTTCGTGGCCTCACAGGAGCTCCGCCGAAGGTCCCAGTGGCACAGTCCGCATGCGTTCCCGCCATTCATTTCGGCACACTCCGCACACGTTTCGTGGCCCCATAGGAACTCCACCGACGGTCCCCGTGGCGCAGTCCGCATGCGTCCCCGCCATTCATCTCGGCACACCCCTCACACGTTTCGTGGCCCCATAAGAGCTCCGCCGAAGGTCCCAGTGGCACAGTCCGCATGCGTCCCCGCCATTCATTTCGGCACACCCCTGACACATTTCGTGGCCCCATAGGGAACTCCACCGAAGGTCCCCGTCGCGCAGTCCGCATGCGTCTCCCTTGCCCAGTACAGCGTTACGTGGCCCCATATGGAGCCCCACCGCAGGTCCCAGCCAGCCAGCTAGCTCTCTTTGCTCCGCGCAGCGGGCGACCCGCGCGCGTCGCTGGGACCCCTCCGGGGCGACCTGCGCGCGTCGCGGGGGCTCCGTGCTGCGTTCTGCCCAGCGCCTCGCTCGCCCGTCGTCGCTCTGCCCAGCGGCAAGAGCCTTGCCCGCTATCAGCCAGCCAGCTAGCTCTCTTTGCTCCGCGCAGTGGACGACCCGCGCGCGTCGCTGGGACCCCTCCGGGGCGACCTGCGCGCGTCGCGGGGACTCCGCGCTGCGCTGCGCCCGCAGCCTTGGACTTTTGAGTGCGCGGGCAAAGAGGGAGTAAAGGAAGGGAAGGAAGCGGGCGCGATCCTCGCGGGGGGGCGCGCCGACATTGGCGTCGCGGCGCGCGGGCGATGCCGTCGGGGAGTCCCGGGGAAGCTCCTTGCGGCGGCCACGCCCAGCGTCGCGAGTACTCAGAGGCAGTCATTGTCAAACTATTGCACCACGCTTTGTCATATTCGCATTCATGCACGTAGACTCGCTCGCACGCAGATTCATTCACAGTCAGACGCACGCGCGCAGATTCACCCGCGCTCAGTCTCCCTACGTACTCAGATCAATCGTTTTGGTTCGCGTTGTGTACCACGCCGCTCATGTCGGCACACCCCTAGCACGGTTCCTTACCTCATAGGGATCGCCACCGAAAAAGTGAATCACTATTGCGGTACTCACACCTGCATATGGTTGGGTCCCTCGTCCGGCTTTTTTTGTTCTCTCTCTCTCTCTCTATATATATATCTTTCTCTGCGTTTGCTGTTTCTGTCCACGCGCTCGCGATGTCCGCTTAGTCTCGCATTGAACCACTTTGTTTGTCATTGTGTGAGGCCTGATTATACAAATGGTCAGCTGGACGGTCGGGGGTGCACACACAATGGTGCACTTGCCGACACCATTCCGGTAACATTTTGTCTTACGGTCTCATCTCGTGTTGAAGATAATACCGATCTTACGATCGATCCCACTACGATCTCATTAACGGTCTCACCATCGATCTCACGATCGATCTGATTATCGATCTCACCATCGATCTCATCAATCTTTCCATCGGTCTCACGATCGATACCACTAAGGATCTCATTTGATCGATCCCACTATCGATCCCCCAACCGATCTCACACTCGGTCTCCCCATCGATTTCGCAATCGATATCACTATCACTATCACTATCACGATCAATCTCTTTACCGATATCATCATCGATCTCACTATCGGAGTTATTATCGATCTCAATATCGGTTCCACTATCGATCCCGCTATCGACCTCGCTATCGATCCCGCGAAAGATGTCACTATCGATCTCACGATCTATCCCACTATCGGGCTCACAACCGATTTCACTTTTGATCTCACCACGGGACACCGACAGGACACCGACAGGACACCGCCAGGACGCCACCTCGTCGCCGTGCCTTTTAACTTCCCATCTTCCCTCAGGCCTCTCGGGTCACGCCGTCGGCCGCCGGAGTCATCATGCCGTCGGCATCGGCGTCGGCGTCGACTGGCTCCGTCGCCGTGCCCCAGCGCAGTGGGGGAAGAAGAACGATACCACCACAGCCGTGGGTGCCACCTCCAGCGAGGACGTCCACGATGCCTCCGCTCTGGTGGTGGTGTCGCGTTTCCCTGTTCCCATCGACCCGTTGCCTCCCCCCCACTGGAGGGACACGGTTGCCAGTCCACCAGAAAATTCACTCCTCTCGCAGAGGGCCTGCGGGGCCGCCTACCCCCTCCGACGATCTGTCGGCGATGTGCGGCCGACGTCAATATCCCCCCCCCGGAGCCAGTGGAGACCCCCCCCTGGGCCAGTGGAGACCCCCCTTTGAGCCAGGGGAGGAGGAGGGGGGGGGGGGCGGCGGTGCGCGGGCAGGGCCGGCCATAGGAAGTCTTCCACGAGATGGCGGGCCTGCGCCGCACGGGGCAGCAGCACGAGGCCGCCGTGCTCCTACCCCGCCCCGCCGCTCTTCGGTCCGGAGGGAGGACGTCCCCCGCCCCGCCCTCCCGCCTGCGGATCCTGACCCCGGAGGTCTGCACCCCTGGAGGCCCCCGCGAACGCCTCCAGAAGCTTCCAGAGGCCGGAGAAGGGCCAATCACGTCCGAAAACCTCCCGCATCGACCCTCGAGGGTCCCGGGCAAAATTTGGCATGTGTGTGTGTGCAACTGTGAGAATCGTTGCTTTCGCATGTTCGTTAGACAACGAACATGATGACTTGGAGCCTTGTTTGGAAATGTTTGGCCCAGGTGTGCTGGGATGATGTAACCGACCTCTGTCTGTTCCAAAGGTGGGCCACCTGATCACCTCGCTTCCCGCTGGCTCGGAGAAAAAATCCATCTTCGCTCCACCACGCAGCAGAATTCAGCTGCGGCAGCTGCGGCAGTGGCCGTGGCCATGGCTTTGGCCTGCCCCGCGGGCGCCTTCCTCTGCCTGCGGGTGCTCCCCCCCGACCCCCCGCTTTCCAGGGGTGAGAGCAGGGGGGTGGGGCGAGGGAGGGGGGAGGGAGGGAGCGCCTGTCCTTGCGAAGCTTGGCTGGGAGCAGGGGGCGGAGGGAGGAGGGGGGGCTGGAGAAGGAGATGAGTAGCGCAGGGAGTCTGGAGGAGGAGGGGCAGAGGGAAGGGAGGAGGGAGGGGGGGACAGCGGGCGGGCGGGAGAGAGGGAGGCAGGGGAGAAGAGATGGGTAGCGTCGCGCTGCCCTTCCACTGCAGGCACCTGGCCAACCCCATACAGGTGGCTGGTCGAAGGGAAAGAAAGGAAGCATCCTGTGAGTCGCCATATCCCACTCTCGTACTGTTATTGCGCCCTCCTGCGGATGACGTCCTGCTTTCACCAGGCTGGTGCTGGGGCGTACCGAAGCAATTTGCTTGAGTCGTTTCGCTGTTTCATGCGTCTGCAACTACCTTCTGGAAGGACCTCGGCTACGTACCCCACCATCTGGGCAATTCGCAAGGGGGGGTGGGGGCGATAAATAGGGGGGATCGAAGGTTGCAGGCACGGGGCCGTGAAGGGGCGCTGAAAGGGGCCCCTGGGGCCCCGAAGGTGCACGAAAGGTATACCTTTCTTGGCCCTCCGTCATTCCCCCCCACCCCCTTTGAGCGGCGCCCGAACCTTCCATCCTCCAACGCTCTAAAAACGTTCCCTTCCTTGCAGATCCTCCGCCTGCCCCCCCTCCTCAGACAACCGGCGGATCCCGCCTCGGAGATCCGGCGCACTGCGATTGCCTGTTTTCCCAACCCGCGGGCTCCACGGGGTCTGTGCTCCCCCCCGGAGCCTGAAGGACTCTAAAGTGAGCTGGGCGTTGCATGTGAGTGGGAACGAGCGTGCATCCGCGGCTGCTTGGCTCAAAGCGGCCGGCCGCCCAGATCTGACTACACCTCAGCGCGAGGTGTATTATTTGCCATCGATACCAAAGCACTGCTTGGGATGGCTCGCCCCCTACTACTGGGACTATCGTTACTTCGGTACAACAGAGCGGGAGCTTGGCTTCGCCTAGGGCGAAGCTGTTGGTTAGGCCTCCCAGCTCCTTTCAAACTGAAGGCCCCCGCACGCCGAGAGCGCAGGAGAAGCCCTGGCTCGACATGGCTTGAGTCGCCAGGGGCCCGGGCCGTCGCTCCGTTTGGCCCCCCCCCCCCCCCCTTCCCCTGCCGCTCGAGCCCCGCGAGGCCAAGGTGGCGTTCATACGCTTTCTGGAGGGCGTGCACAGGAACCTGCTGGGCGCGCTGCGCGGCGACAGCGGACCCGCTCCTCCAAATCCTGATCCTTCCCTTTCTCCTTCTCCTAATCATCCTCATCCGTCGCCTCCTCCTCAGAGCCACCTCCACGTCCGTCCTCCTCCTCATCCTCACCCGCGCTGTGTCGCGCTGCTCTCGGAGGGTTCTTAGGCACCCGATTCAGAGTTCTGCCACCTCGGCCGTCGTTTTCTCTCGTCGGCCAGCAAGAGTAGCAAGAGCGGTTGTTCCAGACTGGACTCCACGGGCTCGTTGTCTCTCCTGCGCCTCGTCCTCAGCCCACGTTCCCCCTTCTCTCCGCGACCGTCCTTCTCATTGTCCCCATTTGGACATCGACGTTGCAGTCCTTCTGTCCCCTCCACCCGTCTCGCCACTGTCACCTTCGCCCTCGTCCTCGTCCTCCTCGCCCTGCTCCGCTTCTTCTCCTGCCTGTGGCGGGGGGATGCGGAGGAAGAGGAGGACGGCGAGACGAAGGACGCAGCAGCGACAGAATCCCCGAGGCGGATTCCGCACCCTGGCCACGCCCACCATGTTCACAGGAGGCATGGGCGTGGAAGTACACCTGGTGGCAATGGGCCGCGCGCTCGGGAGCAAACGGGGAAGCGGAGAAGGACACTTCGGAGGAGGAGGAGGAGGCGGAGGCGTCGGACCTCGAACCTGTGCGTGACGGGCCCTAGGCTCTGCTGGGCTTTGTCAGGGTCTTTGGATGTCGCCCGTCGTTCCTCGCCTGGTGTGGCCGATTGTTTTTCTCTTACACGTGTTTGGTGGAGTAGCGGCCGTCGTGTTTTCCGAGCTAGCGAAAAAGAGGACCAGAGCAAACCCACTATGTATCAACGGTGCTGTCACACACCCTCCTGCCCCAAGTCCCCCCCTCAATAACCCTTACACATTTGTTTTGCCAGCGTCGGCCCCAAGCAGTGCGTTTCTAGTAATCTATGCTGTGCAGTCCACGCGGGGCAATCTAAGTGGTGCGCTCATCGTAGTATGAAGACAGGTGTGGATGGGGGGGGTCGATAACGGCACTCCCTGGGTTGGTACGAGCTTATTTTAAGATGCGCGATGTGGCAGAATTCTGTGTAAACCGTACAAGCCCAGGGGGGAGGGTAGAACCGGGAGGCGGGGGGAGACCCGACTTTCCTTTCCGACAGGAGAATATATGATGTGCAATTCGCGTGGTGAAATTCATTTTGCCAAAAAACCTGGAGTTGACTCCACTGCTGGCTCAACCATTTTACCCACCCATTCGCAACCTGGTTTGCACAACCCATGCGGCGGCGACCGCGTTTCATGCTTGGTGTCGGCTGGTGCATCTCTGCGGCCGCGCTAGTCCGCGCATGCAGGCGCAGACGGGCCACCTAGCGTTGCGCGACCGACGCGGCCGCGGCGGCGCTGACCGCTTCGCATTTCACAGCGGGCACTTCAGTGCGAATCGGTGGCTCGGACGAACCCGGTATCATGGCGACATCGGCAACTGAAGACACGGTGTTGATTGTAGCGATGCTGGTGGCGACGGCGACGATGACGACGGTATGGCCAATGACGGCGCCGATGCGAATCATGCCGATGACGATGATGGTGTCATGCGTCGGCGATTAAGGTTTTGGGCGGGTTTCAACATGCGCGGGCGTCCAACGGACGCGGACGGCCCGCCTGGTACTACTTGACACGGTTCGTGCCCCAGCCCCCCTTCCACGCGCGCAAGGGCGTTCGAATGGTTTCGACACGCGGCGCGAGAGGCCCGCTTGGTAGACTTGCACTAATGGAAACAAATATGGCTTAGTAAGAATTCGCATGAGAGCCCGCGCGCAGGCTGTTGTTTGATACCTTTTCGGGGCACTCGATTTTGCAAACCTCGCGAAACCCAAGATTTTTGCAAGAATTTGGCATGCGCGCGTGACGGCGAGAGCGTGCGCACTGTGTCGCAATGTTTGCAGGGGGCTCTTGTGACAGCACGCGCAATATGACGACCCCATTGCTGAGGGTGCGCCGCCCTCTGCTGGCCAAGATAGGGGTGGAACCTGGGCGGCGAGCTTTAATTCTTTTGTTGCGTCGGCGAAGCCCAGTGCTACGTCGAAGGCCGATGCTACTGCGTCGGCGAAGGCCGGTGCTCCGAAGGCTACGGGCTACACGCCCTGGGCTGGATGGACCCCTAGGTGCCCCCCATGGGAAACAGCCGCGGCGCGACCATCTAATCGCAACCCCAGGCAGCCTCGTCGGACAAAGGCTCCCATACATGAGGATACAACAACGAGGGCTCAGCATGTGGAGTACGATTCGCAAGCTTGGGTTTCTCGGTGGCGTCCTCAGTCTGAGGGCCGTTCGGAACGTCCTGCGGCGCAATCACAGGGGCAGGCTGCGGCCTCGAGCTGAGGATATCTTGCAGCCGCGCCCCAGCCCGCGCAACGAATGTACATGTCGGCTGACCGCCCGTGGGGGAAGCGACCACCTCCGTACAGGGAGGAACGGACCGTGACCGTGATCGCGGGTGGTATGGTATGAGTGTACGTGAGTGGCACGGAAAGGGGTAGTTGTGTCGGCGAGTGCCGATGCTTCTCATATGCCTCTGTGTCTCTCTCGTGTTCCCTCGTTTGCCTTCGCGCCGCCGCGGAGCAATGGCTTGAAGGTAATCTGCTTCGCGTCCGCCTTGGAGTGGGGCCTTCGCGACGACAAGAACTTGTTGTTTCATTCTCTACGACAAGAAAATATGTTACTTGTGCGGGTTTCGGGGTCGAGCACGGCCGCCCCGCTCCCTCAAGAAGCGGGGCGTGTTCTTCCGACTCCCGCACTCGGAAAACATCAGCGCCATTTTTGTGTCGGGCCCCGGTTGGTTCCCCTTTTGTTGGTTGGGGTTTTGGGGAACACTCGAACTTGAGAGCTCCCTGTTATGGGTTAGGCGGGGGGAGGATACCTCTCGTACTTGGCGCCGGTATAAAAGTCGTACTTGGCGCCGGCTTTATTCTTAGCAGTGGCCCAGCTGAGTTTCGGGGGTCCTGGGCTGCCTCTCGGACCCCCCTGCGCCCCGTCTCTTGCCTCAACTCCTTCATCCTGGGGAATGGGGCGAGGATCGGTCGATGGATTCGATCGCTTCCGCTGAGCAGTATTTCTTTTGCTCGCAGCGGCGGAAGGTGAAAAGGGGCGCGCGCGCGGCACGTCGTCGTCGCCCCTCCTCTTCTCCCCCTTTCTGCTGCATGCCGTTGCTAACGGATAACTATGATAACAGCTAAAATGAACTCGGCCGCATTCGACGGCGAGCCGAGGCCTATTCGATATTAGAGGCGTCTGGTTCAAAGGCCCTTCCACCCCTCGAACGAAAAAGGGCTCTTTGGTTTTTCATCGGGACAGGCGGAATATCGAGGTTCGAGGTTCGACGGGGTGGATGAGGAGCAGCTGGATGGGCGGCGCGAAGACGGAAGAGGATGAAGGCGAGGAGAAGGATGGAAGAGAAAGGGGGTCGGAGGAGAAGACGGAGGAAGAGAAGAAGGGGGATGAGAAGAAGGAAGAGGAGCAGGAGGAGGAGGACGAGGACGACGAGGGATGACTGGGGGAGGAGGGGGGGTAGAAAGAGAAGGGGGTTCAGAAATTCAGATCTATCGCGAAGCGAAGTACTATCACACATGCCACCCACTGAGCGCGTCGAAGAGCACGACGAACAAGAAGGAGGCGGGGGTGAAACCGTACCTGGCCTGCTGAAAGGAAGCCCGCGGAGCAATGTGATGATACCGTGGATGAGTCCCTCCAAACAGAAAAGAAGCCCGCAACACAGCGAGCAGCCAACTGGATGTTCACACCTTCCTCCCAGCAAGTTGGATACAAGTAAAAGAGCGCCCAAATTGTGCAAACCTGACAGGGAAAACGCAACTTGAGTTAAAGAAACCGCAATTGCCTCACACGGAGCTTTTTCGCAGAGAGCACTGACCGACCCTAGTGTGTACGAGTAAAATCTCCTGGCACCGTTGCAAAGAGCGGTTGGGAGCACGCCAAAATTGGATAACTGCCGAATCCACTATCCACCCACATGAGGCGTTAAGTAGCTTCTGCACAGCCTCCCACGCCAGGCCACGCACATCGAATGGAATCCGCCGCCAGCACAATGACCAGTATGAGTGGTACGCCTCCGCGATGGCCACCCAATGAGAGAGCAAAAGAGCCGCCTGAAGTACAAAGATGGGAATTTACCCATCAAGCTAAATTCGAATGCACTGCCGCCGCCAGAGCCGCCACCAGAAGCAACTGAAATACCCTCCCCTGGCGGAGATGGGAGACCCCAGCATTATAGCTGATGATGCCTGGCTCCAGCTGGACGTGCGAAAAATTGAGGCCCCAGCACCAGAAACCGAAAAACATACCCTCCCCTGGCGGAGCTGGGAGATGCCCAAACGATAGCTGATGAGGTAAGCCCTTGCTGAAACGTTCCAAAGCCACACCACCTGCAGCCCAATCTGGAGAAGCGGCACCACGCGAAACACCGTAGTGATACCCACCAGCTTGTTTTGCCCTTGTCCCTCTGTCCAAGGCCCCGGAATACTTGGAATCGTGAATTCGCCTCCCTTCGTCACCAGGAGAGGCTGAATGATGCCGTTGTGAGAAACCACTCCCAAAGCGGTCCAGACGCCCTGGTGTCCCCCAAGCGCCGACGAGGAGGCGGGAAGCTGGCCTAGCGCGAGCGAGTAGGAGCCGAAAGATGGTACCACGCGCTCCGCCCACCTGTGCTTGAGCCAAAATGGCTACGGAGGGTAGAAAGAGGAGGAGGAGGAGGAGGAGAAGGCTGAGGAGGAGGAGGAGGAGCTGGAGGAGGAATGAGATCGAAGGTCGAATCTACGTTTTTCAGTTTGTTGTCGCTGCTCTTTTGATCCTCCAGGGCCCCCAGGACCTCAGGAAGCCCTTGAGGCCACCGGGGACCCTTGGTCCGCCAGGAATCTCCAGAGGCCTTCGTAGGAGGAGGAGGAGACCGGTGCGCAGCGGCCTGTGCTTCGCGGCTTCCCGAAAGCCTTCGCGTCGCCTCGCCGCGCAGTGCCCCCGCGCAGCTCCCCGCAGAAGGGGCTCTGGACCGGCCGGGACCTCCCTGGGAGCCTGCGGCTGCGCGATGCGCCCGTAGTCGCTCGCAGGTGCGATGCAAACGGGTGCGTAAGTATTCGGCGCTCACGTAACGGGGATCAGCGCTAACAGGGGTCAGCCGAACCCATGTGGTTCTCCTTTTCCGCCTGCGTTGACCCGAGTTTGGGAGCTACTGAGCGGCGGGCCAGGCGTCGCGACATGGCCCTGGCCGGCCCGGGTTGGGTTGACCCGGTGTATTGCGCGATCGAAATCAGGGGGACGAAGGCCGACCGCAGATCTTGCCAAATTGAACAGGGCTATGGAGCAGGTCGACCCTGCCAGATCAACGGTGCCTTTTTGTCCAGTGTTTCGCGGCCGATGTGCCCTGCATTCTTACGGCAATGTGTCCGTCGGAGCTCGGAGAGTTCTTGCCCCTTCTGGCGTGTCATCTCCAATAGAATTCGACTGTGCGGTCAGGAACTTTTGGTTCAGCGCCCCGCGCCGCCGGTGCTGGTCCACAACGCGTCGGCGCGACACGTTGAACACTTTCAAACTCCAAAGTGTCAGCGTCCCCGGCTTTGCCCGGCTTCCCGCCCCGAGGAGTGGAGCGATCCGCCATCCGCTCGCAGGGCATGGCGTGTCGCCAGGATCGCCGCCGCGACACGCTAAACAAACGTTCCCGACCGAAGGTGTCGGTGTGGCCGTGGACGTTTGTCAGCGACGTAATCTACTTGAGACCGAGAGCCGCCTGCCTGACAGCGGCCAGTGCCAGTTTCAGACAACATTTGCTGCTGAACATCGAGGCTGTCGTTTCCCTTACCCATTTCGGGCGTGCCGATCCGCTCGTCGAAGAACCTTGCTACAGGCCCCCAACCCCATCCATCTTCCAAGAGCCCCCTCGGCCGGCCGTGTTCGGCTGTGTGTGCGCACACCGCGTACAGACCCTTCTTCGGATTGGTTGCCGGCCGCACGCGCCGACGGCGTGGGCGACTAGCTTGGATGATGATGATGCTGATGATGCAGATGATGATGGTGTTGATGATGATGAGGATGATGCAGATGAAGATGACGATGAATCTGTAGATTTTGTTGATTATGAAGATGAAACATCTGATCATGATTATGCTAATGATACTGGTTATGGCAACGATGCTGATCACTGATGACGATTATGATGATGATGATGAGGAGGAGGAGGAAGATGATGACTATGATTATGATGATAATGGGGACGATGATGATAATATGGTGATACTGATGCTGATGGTGATGGTGATGGTGATGATGCTGGCGATGCTGACGGTGACGATGATGTTGCTGATGACGACTAAACCGATGGTGGCCATGATGATGTTGATGATTAGGATGACGACTACCACGACGACTGCAGCGACGACGACAACGGCGACGACTGTGATGATGGTGCCGATGGTGGCGACGACGACGACAACGATGATGACGATGACGATTAAGTATGCTGGTGAGGATGATGACGATGACAATGCTGGTGAGGATGATGGCAGCTGTGACGGTGGTGACTATGTGTATCTGTGTGCAATGCGCCGCGGCGAAGCATTGCGGGAAGCCTTCTGCGTCTCCCGCCGTACGCGGCGCAATCGGCGCCGCCCGTCGATTCGGCCACCCCGGTCGCGCGGCTTTCACCCAGATCGCGAAGTTGTTCTCCTCCCGCCCGTCTTCCGCCGAGCCTCTGTTGGCTCCCCTCGAGAATCACCCGTCAACGCTGGAACGATTCAGAGAGGATTAGCATGGCTTTTGCGCGAAGATGGCACGCACAAGTCCATAAGCGTACACTATGTGTATCTTAGGCGGGCCTCGCCGGAGCCTTCGTGCGTACGAGGGGCACCGAGGCTGTGTGCGCTCCTTCTGGGCGGACCTCTGCGAGAACCCTGCAGACCCCATCATGATGAGGGTCGCCTGCTTCGAGAGGGGCCACGCGCCGGTGTTCAACATGATGAAGGAGGAGTGGCTGAAAAACTTTTACAGGCCAGAGGAGGCGGACAGGATGCTGCTGGAGGCTCTATCCCTTTAAAGCCCGTTCAGAGGGCGTTCCTCAGGATGGGTGACCTACACACCTCTGAAAACGAATGTGTAGTGTCTGGTGTCTTACGAGTTGGGTTATGATTTCCCCAAGTCAGCCTGCGTGGACCCCGAGCAGCAGGGTACGTACTGCATTGTGGATGTGCAAGCTGTGTGATACAAGCTATGTGGTGCAAGCTGTGTGGTGGAAGCTATGTGTGTAAGTCATGTGGCGAAGCATCGGCGGACCCCAAAGTGGGCGTCAACGACGCGGCAACAAGCCGGCCACCAGCGGCGACGCAGCGGAATATCGGCGGACATCACAAGTGGGCGGCAGCTTGGCGGTAACGAGGCGGCAACGGGCGGCGACTCGGCGAAACCACGGTGGACCGTCCAAGTGGGCGGCCATGAGGCGGCCACAGGCGGCGACGCTGCGAAACCTCGGCGGACCCCCAAGTGGACGACAAGGGAGCGGCCACGAGGCGGCCAGGGACGGCGACGCGGCGAAACCTTGGCGGACCCCCCAAGCGGGCGGCAGCCACTAGGCAGCTTCGGGCGGCGACGCGGCGAAACCTCGGCTGACCTAGCCAGGAGTAGTTAAAAACCCCTATGTGCAAGCACTGTCTGGTGAAAAATACGGCGACGGCGTAAGGGGGGGAACAGTATACATTGGAGGGGCGAGGGCGAGGCGGAAGAGGAAAACAAGGACGATGAGCGAGGGAGGAGCAGGAGGAGAGTGGGGAGGTTGACCCTGTCAATCTTCGTTTGCCGCCCTTTCGCCGTCAGCCGCGCGACTCATATTGGATCAGGGGCTGCGTGCAACTGACACCTCGCGAGGCAGTCCCCCCGAACACGCGAACGCCGGTTCCCCTACTTCTGGTGCCCTTCCAGGCGGTCTGCGATGGGATCCCAGACTGCCTTGATTATCTTGCAGCTCGCTGCTGGCTATTGGGCAACCCTTCATGTTCTTGCATTGCTCCAGAGCTGGATCTCGTAGACAAGAATATGTCAGGGTTCACCCTTCCCTACCCCGTCATCATCCTGCCTCTTTCCTCCCCTCCTCTCCAGATTCCTGCTCACTTCGTATCATCCCTCCCTCCTCTTGCCCTCCCTCCTGCTTTCTCTTCGCCCTCTTCCATCCTCCAGCCTCTTTGCGCCAGAAGGATTGGGAAGGAAAACTGCCGTAGGGACTCCCACACTCTTCCGAACCTCCAGTACGTTCGGAACAATTGAGGATGTGTCTTCTGCTTCCAATGGAAGGCTCTCCGCAGCACGGCGGACGCGGATGATGACTTCTTCTAGGCGGAGTGCGGGTGCCTAGACAGACCATGGTGCCTACACCTCCCTCTGTGAAGTAAAGGCCGCTTGCGCCAGCGAGAAATAACCGTATGAGGGATGCAGAGTGTAGCATCGTAGTGAGGCGAGATAGAGCGAGAGAGAGAGAGAGGAGCCGGAGGCGGAGGAGGAGGAGGAGGAGGATGAGGAGGATGAGGGGGAGCAGAGTCATGACGGGGCGGATGGCGACGAAGAGGGAGAGAAGGATGGTGGAGAAGTTGATGTGTAGTAGTCGCGATTGATGGTGACGGTAGTGGGGTAAGTGGTGACAATGGGGGTAGTGGTGGAGATGACTTCGATCATTGGTCCACATCGAAGGCCAATGATCTACCATGGTGCACTTGACATATTTGTCCGTGTGTCTGCGGCCTGGCCTCGAACCACTTCATCTAGTTCGCAAGCCCCCATCCTCGTCTCCCCGCGGGTCACTCTATAAGGAGTTTCTGCGGACGCGAGGGAAAGCGATGAGCAGGAGCTCAGGCAAAAGCAAGAGGGGAAAAAGGGATTGGATCGAATTGGACAGGCCAGACGTAAACCGAGGACCGAACACTTGGGCGCAGTCCTTGGGGGGCAGTGTCAGCTCACGCAGGCTCCCAGAAGGCTCCCCCCCGACGAAACTGGGGCCCGCCACCCTTTCTCGCAGTGCATCCGGCGCCGCTGGGCCCAAGCTGCCTTTGAGGGGCCCAGTGCTACCTACGGTCAGTTGCATAGCGTGTCGCGCCGCCAATCCTGGCCAACCTCGCGCTGGCGCGACGCGCCACCCGCGCCCCAATCCCCAAGCATCAACGTCCCGAGTGGTTCCCAGCCTCCTGCCCCGCTGGGCAGAGCGACACGCTATCCACTCGCGTTTTGGCCCGCCGCGACTCGCCACGCACGAGTTCCTGACCGCAGCAAGCTCCTTGTCCCAACAGCCTTGTCGCGCACGCGCTGATCTCCAGCGACCTGGCGATTTGTCGGGCCACGGCCTCGCCACCCCCCGTGGGCTGACCTTGGCAATGTAATCTTCTTACGGTCGCCTTGCTCCTCTTCGGTTGGCGCACTCCGGGCCACGGCCGCGCCTTTGCTGCCCGCGCTTCCGCGTTCTCTCACCGATCCTCCAGTGTTCGTGGCACCTTTCTGCTGCAGCCAGCTTGCTGCACGCTTCTCGCACTGGCTGATCCCAACGCTGCAGCCGGTGGCATTATCCAGCTGGTTCTGTTCGCCGTGGCAGTGCAGCTGGCGCGCCGGATAACAGGTAGGCCTGCCAGCATGTGTTCCGTATGAGATCGGCATCCCTTGATTACTTCTGATGCCCTAGTGGAAGCCTGGGTTGTGATCGGCTGCAAATGTGCCCCATATTCATCTACATCTACATCTACATCTACATCTACATCTACATCTACATCTACATCTACATCTACATCTACATCTACACATATATATAGATATATGCATACATACATACATATAATTATATGCGCATGCACATATATATATATATATATACATAGATGGTGACGTTCCCTCCCCCCCGAGACCAACCTGTGGGGGGGACGCCGTCCTGGAATCCAGTTCGCCGCCAGGGAGTCCTCAAGAGAAGTTGGGGCAAATGAAGAAATTAGAACATTAAGCAAATTAAATCGAGTCCGTAGCGAAATCGCCATTCTTCGGAACAAAGGTTCCACCATGTTGGTTTCTCCAATGATTTTTCTTCATTCAAAAAATCCCTGAGCCTCCCTGGGGCTACGGCCCTGGATCCCAGCTCGCCGCCAACGGGAGGAGGGGGGGGCGAGGGAAATTAGAACAAATAAAAAGAAATTAAACAATCAAGTAGAGTCCTTCGTGAAATCCTGGTGCCGTTGCCCTGGAGTCCAGCTGGCCGCCAGCAGTGGGAGGGGGGGGGGGGGCGGGGGGGGGGGGCGAGTTTTTATATACAAATGGTATTATTCGTGTTATGAGTATGATGTTTGGTCTTACTGCTTATTCGTATTGGTATGATTGCTACTATATGTATGCGTGTACAAGTTTATATGATATCTATCTAGAGCCCCCAGCGGAACCATTGTTTCCCAACCATCCTGTGGTGTTGGGTCCTCGTTTTGAAGAAACGGTCCCCGCGTTCTCCTCTCCTCTCCTCTCCTCCCCTCCTCCCTCCTTCCCCTCCGCGTCAGCCACACCCACTTCGGCACACCCCTCACACGTTTCGTGGCCCCATAAGGAGCTCCACCGAGGGCCCCTGTGGCTGCGTTCGCATGGCGGCACCGCACCCATTTCGGCACACCCCTCACACGCTTCGTGGCCCCATAGGGAGCTCCACCGAGGGCCCCAGCGGCTGCGTTCGCATGGCGGCACCGCACCCTTTTTCGGCACACCCCTCACACGCTTCGTGGCCCCATAGGGAGCTCCACCGAAGGCCCCAGCGGCTGCGTTCGCATGGCGGCACCGCACCCATTTCGGCACACCTCTCACACGTTTCGCGGCCCCATAGGGAGCTCCACCGAAGGCCACAATGGCTGCGATCGCATGGCGGCAGCGCAGTCATTTCGGCACCCCTCACACGCTTCGTGACCCCATAGGGAGCTCAACCGAAGGCTCCAGTGGCTGCGTTCGCATGGCGGCACCGCGCCCATTTCGGCACACCCCTCACACGTTTCGTGGCCCCATAGGGAGCTCCACCGAGGGCCCCAGCGGCTGCGTTCGCATGGCGGCACCGCACCCATTTCGGCACACCCCTCACACGCTTCGTGGCCCCATACTCCACCGAGGGCCCCTGTGGCTGCGTTCGCATGGCGGCACCGCACCCATTTCGGCACACCCCTCACACGTTTCGTGGCCCCAGGAGCTCCACCGAGGGCTCCAGTGGCTGCGTTCGCATGGCGGCACCACGGGGACACCCACTCACAGTTTCGCTCCACCGGCCCCAAGGCGCATGCGGCAGTTTCGTGGCCCCATAGGGAGCTCCACCGTGGCTGCGTTCGCATGGCGCACCCATTTCGGCACACCCCTCACACGCTTCGTGGCCCCATAGGGAGCTCCACCGAAGGCCCCAGTGGCTGCGTTCGCATGGCGGCACCGCACCCATTTCGGCACACCCCTCACACGTTTCGTGGCCCCATAGGGAGCTCCACCGAAGGCCCCAGTGGCTGCGTTCGCATGGCGGCACCGCACCCATTTCGGCACACCCCTCACACGTTTCGTGGCCCCATAGGGAGCTCCACCGAGGGCCCCAGGCTGCGTTCGCATGGCGGCGACGGCACCCCTCACACGTTTCGTGGCCCCATAGGGAGCTCCACCGGGCCCCAGCGGCTGCGTTCGCATGGCGGCACCGCACCCATTCGGCACACCCCTCACACGTTTCGTGGCCCCATAGGGAGCTCCACCGAGGGCCCCAGTGGCTGCGTTCGCATGGCGGCACCGCACCCATTCGGCACACCCCTCACACGTTTCGTGGCACCATAGGGAGCTCCACCGAGGGCCCTGTGGCTGCGTTCGCATGGCGGCACTTTCGGCACACCTCTCACACTTTCGTGGCCCCATAAGGAGCTCCAGCGAGGGCTCCAGTGGCTGCGTTCGCATGGCGGCACCACGCCCATTTCGGCACACCCCTCACACGTTTCGTGGCCCCATGGGGAGCTCCACCGAGGCCCCAGTGGCTGCGTTCGCATGCGGCCCGCACACCCATTTCGGCACACCTCTCACACGTTTCGTGGCCCCTGAGGGAGCTCCACCGAAGGGGCTGCGGCATGGTTTTCGGCACACGTTTCGTGGCCCCATAGGGAGCTCCACCGCCCCAATGGCGGCACCGCACCCATGGGCACACCCTCACACGCGTGGCCCCATCTCCATGGCTGCGTTCGCATGTTTCACCGCTTCGTGGCCCCATACCGCAGGTTCGTGGCATTCGGCACACGCTTCGTGCCCCAAAGCTCCACCGAGGGCCCCAATGGCTGCGTTCGCATGGCGGCACCGCACCCATGTCGGCACACCCTTCACACGCTTCGTGGCCCCATAGGGAGCTCCAGCGAGGGCTCCAGTGGCTGCGTTCGCATGGCGGCACCGCGCCCATTTCGGCGCACCCCTCACACGTTTCGTGGCCCCATAGGGAGCTCCACCGAGGGCCCCAGTGGCTGCGTTCGCATGGCGGCACCGCACCCATTTCGGCACACCTCTCACACGTTTCGTGGCCCCATAGAGAGTTCCACCGAGGGCCCCAGTCGCTGCGTTCGCATGGCGGCACCGCACCCATTTCGGCACACCTCTCACACGTTTCGTGGCCCCTTAGGGAGTTCCCTCTCATTCGCTCAACCTGCTTTGCGGTACTCCTAACTGCATATGGCTGGGTCCATCGCCAGGATACTTTTTGGAGCAGCGGTTCCACCATGCAGGTTTTGCTGATGAGTTTATTTGATGTTCGAATGTTTTTGTAAGTATTATGTTTTACTTCCTTGAGCCTCCCTGGGGCCACCGTCCTGGATTCCAGCTCGTCGCCAGGGGGCCTCTGGGTACAACTTAAGCGGCGGTGTATGTTGTACCCAGGGCCCCCCTTGGCGGCCGCCAGGGAGCGTCTTGGGTGCAACATAAACTGCGGTGTATGTTGTACCTGGAGGCCCCCTGGCGGCCGCCAAAGGGCGCGTTGGATACAACATGACCGGCGGCTTATGATGTACTCAACTTTTGGCTTTTGCGGCGGTGTAAGCTTCCGGGTGGGCTTCGACATGTACGAGACCTTACGCAAATCCGATCGCAATGCAAGGTTCAGTAATATTGTGAGTGTCTTCTGCTATGGGCAGAACTTGCATCGTTATGTCGCAATTGAAGAACGTGAGTCATACATGAAGTTGGGCGAAGTCTGATACGCACCGAGCCTACCTACCTTCTGGAAGCCTCTGAACGGGCGGAGGAGGAGGGACTCGACCCAGGGGAGGCAAAGAAGTGAACGTTCGCTAGAACAGCGGGTTCCCTCACAGCTCGTAGCCCTTGGCTTGAGGCCGCTCTAAGAGTGGCCCCATCATGTTTGGAGGTGGGCAGGCGGGGCCATAGCACGAGCCCGCTCACCTCCGGGCCGCCTGGCTCGGGCTCATTCCCGGGACCCTCCGCGCCACCTCTCA